CGCTTATACACACTATACTCATAGTCACGCAATGCTGATGTTGTTAACATTAACAATTTGAGAATAAAATATAACAATAATAATTTGCACGGTTTGATGTGAAATAAACTAATTTAGATTAAATCACCATTGGTAGCGCGATTTATTGTAATGCTTTTTTCCTCAGTTGGTCAGAACAAAAGTGACTTGTTACTTGCTTGTTCAGATGATAATATCCGGTGAAAATGCTTATTTGAGTCATATAGTGCGGTGACTGACTGCCACACATACTCTTCAGAACATTAGATTCATCCGCGCTGGAGCACAACCCACGCAAATAGATAATTCCGCACACAGCTGCAATTGCAGGTTTTCAAACAGAGATGGCGACAAAGAGGCAAAACTTATGGACTGCAGCTTTAACAAGGATACAAACAAGCCACTTTTCGCCAAAAATTGCCGTTTTAATTTTAAAATAGGTCATTTGTGTAATTCACGTAGAAAACTTGCTACTTCATACTGCAGTACAAAACGATGTTGAACTTTGACAAAAAAAATTTTTTAATTGTTATAATAGTGATTTTATAATGTCTAAATATAAATCCAAAAGCAAAACGTGAAAAGAGCTATATTACGGAGTGGAAATGGTAAATGAGACAATGAATGATCCTCTGCTCCCATCTAGTGGCCATAGTGGGAATATCATGACATTCATTTTAATAGTATTTGTTTTTCTACCAGGTGGCATAAATCTTCCACTTAAGCATGGCAAATTTTCCATGAATTATCTTTATAAGTAAACATGAAGTAATACAGATGTTCTTTAAAGTAAATTTTACATAGTGTTCTCATTTTATATAAAAATGTACAAAAATATGAATAACTTTGGGGAAAATGAATAATAATAATAATAAAAATAGTGTGAATCCCTCCAAAATTACCCAACTATAAAGTGAGCAATATTACATGTGTTTGAAAAAAAAATTTAAACAGAAGTGTTCTACTGTCTGGGGTCAACCATCTGGAGTTAAAGGGGATGTTATACAACACTTTTTTTTTTTTATGGTATTGAAAATGGGGGAGGGGTTCGAACCTTTGCCACTTTTTTCACCCCTAATGAGTTTGTATCCTTTCATGCACAAGCTAGTTAATGGGCTTTTGGTCAAAAGTTTTCTGTGGGAGTTAGTGTTAGGGGCTAGAATACAGGGGGGCGCCAACACTGATCTTGCATACCCCTCGTCAAATGTGCAGTTGCGCCCCTAGTGTTGACTTTACCACTAGCCAATAATAATTTTGCTTCAGCAAATTTTAAAATGAAATTTCTTAAAGAATTCAGAATCTGATATTTTTCATGGGAAATCTGGATTTAGATTTAATTACAATAGAATAGAAGTAATTACATATAAAGATGGATTTTAATCCCATTTAAGTGGGTTAAAAAACACTTTTAAGTTCAACTTATTGAATTTCGTATACATTTAAACTACAATGTTTTCATTTAACTGTAAATAACATGCACTTAACTGCTAAAGTTATTGTTTCTGTTTGAGAATCTCCCTCAAGCCAACAACTGAGCATGCTGCTACCTCATCATTCAGATTTACATATAGAGAGATGCTCTTTGTGGGCAGACTGAGGGATACAATCATTGTCTGATGGAGTTTGTTTCTCCTTCAGCGCAGTCAGCAGAGATGGTGGAGGGCATGTGGCTGGGAGTGACCGTGGCCAGTCAGAGGACTGGAGGACATGTGCTGGTGAGATCAGATGCATCTTTGGTTCCTTTTTTTGTTTTTTAGACTGTTTATTTGCAAAGGCAAGACCATCACTTAAAATCGACAGACAGAATTGAATGGATCCCTCCTTTGGACTCAATGAGAGGGTCAGATGCACTCAGGCCACTGTTCTCTCAGTGTAGTTCGAACCCTGCTTTTACACTCCTGCCTGTAATTTTCAACTAACCTTGATTAGCTGTTTTAGGTGTTGTTGGTTGATAATACGCTTGAAGCTGTTTTCAGGAGTTCATTACCTTAGTGGGCCCCCTTTTGTTATGTGGGCTGGGACAATGTTCATGGCTTGTCCTGTACTTTTACAGTACTAGACAAAAGTTTGTAATAATTAAGATATTTTGATGTTTTTGAACGAAGTCTCTTATGATCACCAAGACTGAATTTCTTTTAATGAAAATTACAGTTAAACATATTATAATATTGTGAAATATTCTGTTTTTTAATATATTTTAAAATGTAATTTATTCCGATGAATTTTCAGCATCATTACTCTGTAACATGATTCTTCAAAAATCATTCTATTATGCTGATTTGATGATCAAGAATAATTTCTTGTTATTATACATCTTGAAAACTTTTGCTGCTTGATATTTTTTTGTGGAAATCATATTACACTACCATACAAAAGTTTGAGGTAAATAGGATTTGTTTGTTTGTTTTAATTAGCGTTACAAATCTAAAAATCTTATTGACTCTAACATTTAGAATAGCAGTGTATTTTTGTATTTATTTATGTATAATGACTTTAATATATTTATATATATATATACATATTTAATATATTATAATATATTTATATATATTTATTTGTATATATATAATATACATTTTAATATACATTTTAATATTTATTATGCTTATAAAGTATAATAATATTTTATACTTTTTTATGTTGTGTTCAAACAATTGCATATTTATAACAGTAAGTCAGATAGTTTTAATGTATTTTTATTTAGGCACTTTCTATTTATCAAAGAATCCTGAAAAAAAATGTAGCATGGTTTCCACAAAAGTATTAATCAACTAAAACTGTTTTCAGCATTGATAATAATAATAATTACAACAACTATTAAAAATTGCTATTCAATAATAATTGATAATAATTAAGCAGCAAATCAGCATATCAGAATGATTTCTGAAGGCTCGTGTGACACTGAAGACTGGAGTAATGATGCTTTGCATCACAGGAATAAATTACATTTTATAATATATTCACATAGAAAACATTTATTTTAAATGGCAATAATATTTCACAATATTGCTGTTTTTCCTGTATTTTTGATCAAATAAATGCAGCCTTGGTGAGCAGAAGAGACTTCTTTTAAAAAAAAAATAAATAATCTTAATTATTCCAAACTTTTGACCTTATAAGTTTTAATGTACAGGCTTTATAATTTGGTGTCTGTTTTTTTAAAGGCTCAAATAATCATTTTAAAAATAAAAATTAAAGCAGATTCTAATCAGAATTTCTGTTGTTCATCTCTTCTTTATTGTTGGCAGGCATGTGGTCATCGCTACGTAAAAAAACTTCTGGGCGCCGAAGAGCAGCAGCGTATGGTGGGCAAATGTTACGTGCGGGGCAACGACCTGACCTACGACCCGACTGATTACTGGCAGTCTGACACTTACGAGCTGTGCGACTTCAACTATGACCAGAACCTGGAGGGCATGTGTAACATGGGCATCTCAGGGGGCATGACGGAGAATGACGTGTACTTTGGGACGCCCGGCAGCTTTGTGTGGCAGGGTGAGTACGGGAAAACCAACAAAATCTGGTGTGTCAGCTCTCCATTATCACATATAAAGATCATCCTTCAGTTAATAAAAGGGATTCTTCTGTTCATATAGGAACTGTCCATATGAAAGAGAGAGACCCCAACTTTGATTTTGCCGGAGATGCCAATGAAATAAGCTTCGGTAAGCTAGGCGAGGACAGACTCAACATCTACATAGGTATGTACTGTACTGTATTATTGGTTTTGAATCACATGTTGACAATGTTTGGGAATAACAGTGTTGGGGAATAAATAAAAAAGCTCTTCTTGTTTCAGTAGCTCAGATGTTTTCTAAATAGAGCAGTTTGGTTCAGTAACGACCTGCTTTTCCCAGTGAGTAGAGATGTAAGACAACAAGACCCTACAAAATATGAAACATCGTCATGAGGGAGTTAAAAAAATATTAACCGATTCATTCATATTCACTGACATGTTACATAACATTATACAATAATCTTACCAAAAATGCCATTTTATGCATTAATTAGTGTTTTTGTTTTATTGTAATTGTTTAGTGTTAATAGTTAATGTAGTTAATAATCAGTTAATTTAATAATAATAATAATAAATATTAATTATATTTATTAATATTAATAAAAAAAAATAGTGTGTTACATTTATAAATATTTATGTAAATTTATATATATATATAGAGAGAGAGAGAGAGAGATAATTTTATGTTTTATTATTTAGTGCTAATTTATCATTTATTTGTAAAAAAAAAAATTTTTTAGTATGTATAGTATTTATTCAGTGTTCATTTTTAAATCATTTTATAGTATTTTGATACTTTTTTTCATGTAATTTTTTAGTATTTTGATAGTATTTATTTCTTCATAGCATTTTACGTATTTTTTCTATATTGCAAATAGTATTACACAATAATCTGAGCAAAAATTTATTTGAATGCATTAATTGTAGTGTTTTGTTTTACTGTTAGTGTTTAGTGTTAATTGACTGATAATCTTAAAATAATTTTATCAGTAATTTTTGTATACATTTGTTTAATTTTATATAATAGATTTATATGTTTTAGTGTTAATGGATCAGGAATCTTACAATAATTGTATCAGTATTTTGAAAGTAAATTTGAGTGTTTTTGTTGTTAATATGTGCAGTATTTATTTAGTGATTTACTGATTGTTTAATAATCATTTGATCAAACATTGTAATATATTAAGACTTTATTTATTTGCTTTCATAAGTTTTGTATATATGTTTTTTTTATTTGTGTGTAAATAAATGCTGTTTAATGTTGTCACTCTAATTGCGAATTTTGGAGCCAGATAAATACTATTCTGTCAGCATAAAATAAAACAAGATAAAATAGAATAGAATAGCTACCGTTTTCTTCTTTCTCAATAGTCATTTGACTGTGGTTGCATTTTGTAGTAGCTTGACAAGCTACAGTTTAAAAGTAGCTTCACTGCTGGTTTAAGAATGCTCATCTCTTTCTTCAGGTTACTCTGTGCTGGAGGACATAAAGTTACTGGATCGCTCGAAGTACACTGTGGTGACGGGGGCTCCCAGAGACAATTTCAAAGGTTCAGTGATCCTGGCAGAAAAACAAGGTTTGCTTCTTAACCCAGTGATGACGATCCCAGGGGAACAAATAGGGTCGTACTTCGGCGGCTGCTTGGCGGTGACCGACCTCAACAATGACGAGTAGGTCACTGTGTAAATGAATCATTGTATTATCTATACTATAACTGGCTAATCTGTTAAACGTGTTTAATGTAATATCTTAGTAGAACACAAAGTTGTACAGTAAAAGTCAATGGGGTCCAATGAATCACTGCACAAAAATACCGGTCATACAGCTTCGTACTACTTTTCATGTTTTCATGTCCAATAATCCATTATCATCACAGAGACTGATCTGTGTAACGCTTCACTGAGTTTGAAAGTCAATACAAAGGAAGTAGACCAAAGCATGTCTAACTTTCCCCATGTGCCCTTGCAAAGATCCTCTTGAGCTTCATACTTAAGCACAGGGCCGTTTCTAGGCATAGGCGAGCTAGGCGGTCGCCTAGGGCGCCACCAGCTGAAGGGGCGCCAATGAGCGCACGTACTGGCACTTTTAGCAGGGTTGTGATAAAGAGTGGCACGGTCACCCTGAGCTATGACTGCCGCCCCCACTGGATCCCCCAACATTATTGGGCTAGAGTACTGTCAATCTGACGATGCCTGTATGCCACTAGATCAGAGTGCTGTCAATTGCTGCCTGATTGTTGCATGCAAAGTTTGCATTTGGAGCGCTCAACAACGGCGTTAGATCAGTGGGCTCTGTCAGTGCTTTGGCAAGGTAACACTTTTTTTTGCCATGCAATAAAGCTAAGTTCAAAGGCCAATTAAAAATATTGGTACAGTAAATAAAGTGCACAAAATCAGTATTTTGTTTAGGCAGTATTTGTGG